AAAACCGCAGTTTAAGGCCAGTCTGGGGCTCCCAGACCTGGCCAGGATGCCCCCAGGCCACCTGTCCTTCTGCTTTGTCTCACTGTCCCTTGACAGACAGCCTGATGCTTGGGGCTGGCCCAAAGACACCTCAGGAAGGTTTGCTTCCCACTCTACAGATGGTCCGATTATCCAGAGGTTTCAGGGATGTCTATCTGCCTTCTGGAGATGGACAGGGGCCTTAAGACTTCGGTTGAGAACAGGATGCTCTGTCTCTGAGTGTCTGGGGCAGGAATGGCCTCCAGCTGCAGGAAGTACGGCAGCACCTGGACCTGCTGGAAAGAGTGGGAAAGAGGAGGGAGGCTTAGAGGGTGCTCACAGCTGGTGATCTTTAGCCCCTAGTCCAGCTCAGGTGCTGGGGCCTCTGCTGCTGCCATGAAGCCTTTACACTGAGACGGGGAGTTGGGGGTGCGGATGCAGACTAGGCATGACTTGGGAGGTTATTTTAGAGGTGCACAGGGACTTGCTCTGTCACCCAGGCTGGAATACAGTGGCTCCATCATGGATCACTGCAGCGTCTAACTGCCAGGCTCAAGCCATCCTCCCGTGTCAGCCTCCCCAGTAGCTAGACTACAGGTGTGTGCCACAAAGCCTGACTCATTTTTCTTTTTCTCTTTTCTAGAGATGAGGTTTGCTGCATTGTCCAGAGTGGTTTCAAACACCTGGGTTCAGTTGGCCTGCTGCCGTCTCCCAAAGTGCTGGGACTACAGGCATGAGCCTCCACATCCGAACACTCGGGGCAGTTTTAAGTCCCTAGCAAGGGGGTGCTGGTGCAGGACCAAGAGGTGGCCTGGGCCCCCCCAACACTCTCATCCATGCAGACCTGGGCAAGTGCCTCTCTCTGAATCTCAGGCACCACCACAGACAATGCAAGTAGGGAGCTGGGCAGGGCAGGACGAGGGTGTGGCAGGCAGAGGCCACCTCTGTCAGGTCGGGGTGGCATGGGCTGGATGGAGCCTGTCTTCCCACATGTGGGTCAAGACCTCCAAGGACCAGCTGTCAGTCATGGTGATGGGCGGCTGGGATTGGCAGAAAGCTCACTCTCCTTCTGTGAGGCTGGAGCAGTGTGGGGCCAAAGACCATAGCGAGGTTGTGCACGGACTTTTATTGACTGCCTTTTTCTTACCACCCTGTCGAGGACCGAAGCAGAGGGTGCTGTTTCTACGCCACCACCCGGAAGGAGGCAGAGGGGCTGGGCCGTGCTGGAGTCCTCAGGGAGGGAGCGACCTCGACCCTGGCTGTGCTGCAAGCTGATTCCAGCCCTGGTACTTGTGGGTCTCAGTGGCCCAGGACGAGGGGTTAGCTCTGGGCTGGTGGGGAGGTGTCCTCCACGGTCGGGAAGTGAGGGAGTTGGGGGGTTCAAGTGCACTGCTGGCCTTGGCCAAAGCTCTGAGCTCTTTGTGAAGCCACAGTGCAGAGGGGGGAGCAGGGCAAAGAGGAGAGGCTGGGGCGGGGGTGGCAGTGGCGCTGGTCCCCAGAGGCAGTGAGGGGCGGTAGATGGGTTGGGGGAAAAGGTCCTCGGTACTGGGGGTCTGATGTGAGCAGGGGGGCACCCTGTGGCCTGGGTTTCTGCAGCCCTCCCTGGGCGGCCATGAGAGAGCCGGGCTACCTTTTCAGGTGGTCCCGAAGGAAAAGGAAGGTGAGCAGGTTGGCCTCCAGCGGGGACAAGGGCAGGGTAAGCATGGAGTTCTCCTTTGCAGCGGGGTCTGAAATTCCTGCAGAAGTCTGTGGGTTACTCTTCATGGTCACAACAAGCTGGAGACCTCTCCCGAGGTGGTGACATGGAGCACCCGGGACTCGTGTTCCTGAACAGCCCAGGCTCGTCATCATCCTCACTCCCACTGCGCTGGCCCCCAATGAGGACCCTGTGAAGGGCGCCAGTGTGGGGTATGAGCCACCTGAATGCCTTTTCTCTGCCTCACAGGGGTCAGCAGCAACTGGAGAACAGCAGCAGGAGGTGGCGTGAGAGCAGTGGCTCATGGGCAGAGCTGCCCGTGGGAAACTGCGGCTGCCACCCCCTCCCGAGGGCAGCCCAGAGTAGTGCAGGCTCAGCATAAAATGAAAAAGGGAAGTGAGGGACACAAGGAGGTGGGAGGTGGGTGGCCCCAGCCCCACAAACTATGCAGAGACCCTCTCTTCACCCTAGACTCCACAGGGGCACCTCAGGCTGGTAGAGCAGGTCCTCTGTGCATGGGCCCAGGAGGCAGACCTGCCCTAAGGGTCATGCAGAGGGCATAGGGCCACACGCACCAGTGCCCTGCTTAGACATCAGCCTCCAGGTTGACTCAGGGTCAGGCCAGATTTGATCCTGTGCTTGACTGGGCCAGGACCCGTAGCTAGAGCACCTGGGGACCCTCGTTCAGCCCTGGTCTGTGGAAGGGGGACAGCAGACTTTAGGACCCCACAGCACAGCAGTGCTGAGCATTTTACTCTCTTGGTCTCCTTGAGGAATAGGACAAGAGTCCTCTGGGAACAGACGAGGACTTACACGACAGCCTCGGTTCTGACCCCCGCTTTCTGAGCTTGGTTAAAACACTGACCATGGCAGAAAGGACGCAGCTTGGGTTCCCACACCTCACTTTCCACAGCCCCCAATGGCAGCAGCGCACATGGAGCCGCCTTCTATGACGCCAAGCCCTCCAGTGCTCACCGATGCCCTCATCGAAGTTGCTTAGAACTTGTCAGTGAGGAGGGGCTCGGGCAGCTCACAGAAGTAGAGCTTCAGCGTGTCTGCGATGGCGTGTACGTCCATCTCACTCATCACCATCGACACATCCCTGTTATCTGCAAAGAACATGGAAGTGCTGCCGCCTCCTTGAGGATCCCGAGTGGGTCTCCAGCCATCCTTGCCTTGGCTAAAGCACCGTCCCTGCCATGCTGGCCATTGTCCTGCGGGTCCCACCCTGGCTTTGAGCCGCTCATGTTCCTCCTCCCAAGAGCTGTGCGTGGTTCTGTGTCTGTGTAGAGATGATGGAGGGGCGTGTGCATCCCCATATTTCTCCCCTGCTTGGCCCAATGTGACGTCCAGGAGGAGGCCAGTGCGGCAGGACTCAGAGCCTGCATGGGAATCGGGTGGCTCTGCCCTGATCATAGCAACCACCCCTGTACCAGTCTTCTGACAGCAGGAAGGCTGTGGGAGAACCCGATGGGCTTCAGTGTTTGAACCAGTGTCTTCCTTTGAATCCAGTTGGCCACTGGAGCTGACCTCCCACCATAGGCCAGGTCCATCCTGCGCCCCCAGAGGGAATGAAACTATCGCACGGCCCACCCAGGGGTGCGGAGCATTCTAGGGGTCCTGGTCTGGGTGGCTGGTGTGTGTCCCAAAGAAATATCAGAGGCACAAAGTCCTATTGCTTTGAAGTTGCTGGACAAGGACACTCTGGGTTCTCAGTGCCCTCCCCTGGTGTTTAGGGCAGGTCCAGGTCCTTCATACCCCCTGAGGGGTGGTGAGATGGAGGTGAAGATGGTGCAGCCCCGGCCTGAACTGGGTCCCATCAGTGCCCTCTGCCGCCACATCCGCACACTGGACAGTAGACAGAACACACTGAGTCCCAGGCTTCCCCACCTTATGTCCACCCTCAATGCAGGAAGGCCAAGGCCCCCCAGCAGCCCCTGGTCCACCAAGCAAGCGGCATGGGTGGGTAGGATGGTTCAAGGACTGGCTTCTACAGAAGTTCCTTCTACAATTCTTGTCTTCTCTTTCTTAAAAATAATAAAACAGTAAATGAAGAAAAGACACAGTGAAGAATGTGACGTGACCCGGCCATGGAGCGCTGTGATATCTCATCGTGGACACTGACGCCCACACCACCATCACGACCCGATCCAGCTAGTGACAAAGGCTGCCTTCCGTGCCTGGGTGTCCGTGGGCACTCCAGACACGCAGTAGATGCCCACCTCCTTCATGCTGTGATGCTTGATCTACTCCACACATTGGTGGAAGACAAAGGGCAACTTGGACCTCTGTCTCCTGTGGGAAAAGGAAATGTTCTCAGTGTCTTGACAGCCCTGCTTGAGCTGCAGCACAGGAGACCTGCCCTTATCTGCACACCCAGAGTGGGGCTGAGGAGGGTGATGTAGGTGCCCAGGTCTGGGGCTGCACGCAGAGCCTTGTGCATGCCTGCCCTCCCTCTGCAAGCTCAGTCCTCGTTGCATGTAGTTTCTCAGGACCTTTCTAAGAGGCTGAAGCATCCAGACCCCCGGCGAGTCACACATGATCATTCGGGGAGGCTCAGGAGGCCTGTCTAAGTCAAGTCAGCACAGGAAGGGCATCTGAAAGATTCCAGGCCTGGGGTTAGCAGCCTCTGCTCCCAGCTGGGAGATCAGACCCGGTGTTGGTCCTGCCACCCAGGTGCTGTGTGAGAGGAGAATTCCCTGACCCCTGCCACGGGCCCAGGCCTTAGGACACATTGGACAAATGAATGAAGTGCTGTCTCAGAACCACTGCTCCAAGTCCTGCGAAGCTACGTGCTTTTCTCCTCTGACTCTTGGCAATGAACAATTTCAATACCCCCACACAGGACACTAGAGTAAGAACACTTCAAAGATAAAAGACAGTGCTGTGCTGAGACCTTAACCTTAGCTCTGTTTTGCAACTGGACTTAGGAGCACATAAAGCTGCTTCTCAAGCCGCCCTTATTAGCAGTGCCTATGTGGGGGAGCTGCTGATGGGGTCCTCGCTGCTCATGCCCAGAACTCTCCAGAGTGCTCTGCAAGTGGCTGCCGTACAGTCGCGGGTGGGGAGTGGGGTTCAGACACAGAAAGGATTCCAGTGTGTGACGGATGGCGGCCTGGCCCACATGACCAGGAAGTTCAGGGGCCCAACCGGATTCCATCCTGGGGAAGCAAAGAATTCTCAGAAGATGTGGTCTGTGTCTGCAAGAACTGCTCTCAAACCAACAAACTGGCTTCTCTTGGCAGCTGACTCCAGACAAAGGGGCAGTGTTAGGACCATTTAACAGGAGCCTAGGACCATGACAAATCCCAGGTGAGGGCAGAAAACCTGCACTCAGGCAGCTTCCGGAGCCAGACTACTGCTTCCAAGCAAGGCGACAAGGACATTCCTGACCTGGTGTTGAGTAAACACAGGAGGTAGCTAAACTGTTCCCTGGGGTCTGACCTCACTGTGCAGTGACCACGCACAGAGAGGAGACACCCACACACGCTCTATCCTGCAGAAATAAAGGCACAGGCACCCTCACTGGGCAAGCCGAAGGCTCTCCCCTCTCACTTGGCGACCACAGCAATCTTGACTCCGAAGATCCCTGTCTGTATTTGGGACAACATTGTCTTCAAGCTAATCTCCCTGCTGGTGAACTTGACCGAGAGCTTTACTTCAATGACAGTGGAGAGAAGGGGCACAGTCCTCTAATCCTCCTGGTCCTCAAGTCCAGGTTCCCAAGGCCCCCTGTGGGGGTCTTGTCAAATATTTCAAACCGCAAGGCATATAGAGGTCTCAGCCTCAGGTGGGGCCAGCCCTCGGCGAAGCCCCTAGTCTGCTTCAGCAAGGCCAGGATTGTTGAAGATGGTGTCAAGGACTGGCTTCTGCAGAGCCACCTCCTAAAATCCCCATTGCTTCTCTTGCTTACTTGCCGCTTCTTCTTCCTCTTCTTCCTCTTCCTCCTCCTCCTCCTCTTCCCCTTCTTCCCTTCTTCTTCTTCTTCGTCTTCTTTCTTCTTCTTCTTTTCTTCTTCCTCTTCCTCTTCGTCTTCCTCTTCTTCTTCTTTTAAAGATAAAGAAATTTGCAATGTTTCCCAGGCTGAACTCGATCTTTTGGGTTCCAGTGATTCTCCTGTCTCAGCCTCCAAAGTAGCTGAAACTATAGGTGCACTGTACCAGGTTTCTCTTTCTTAGTAACAATTAAAATTAAATAGAAAAGACAGAAAAATATAAGAAAAAGCCAAGAATCATCAATATTAATATCTCACCATACATACCCAGGCCTTTTTGAGTGTGTCATGCTTTAAATGGCTACACATTTCCAGGGTACCTAAAGACAACTGAGGGTTCTCCATTTCTTCAGCCAGACCCGAGGTCCCCAAGTGGAAGCCCCACCTGCCCTGGTGGTGCCATCAGACCTCTGTGTGAGGAGGGATGCTCAGGGCCCGACTGGCACCTGCATCCCAGCCAGTGAATGAAGATTCCTGTGCACGGCTATGCTGCTCTTTGGGGCCCTCCCTCCTCCAGCCAGGCTCCCTTTCAGATGCTGGCTTAGGCTTAGTTAGCCACTTCTTAGTGATTTGAGATGAACGCAAACCACCCTATCCTTCTGGGGAAAGTCAGGACCAGGAGAGTCCCATAGACATGTACCCCATTCATGGAGATGATGGTGGATTGCCAGTATCTGTCCTGCAGGGCCTGTGGGTCCAGATGAAAGCACCAGTCATGATTGGCAGAGGCCCTGGGGTCTGTGCAGAGGCCCCAAGGGGAAGAAGCCCTCACCCGCCACTTCTCTAGCTATTAGTCAGAGGCAGAGTCCAGCTGCAGCCAGCACCTCCATCCAGAGGCCAAGAGAGGTGGAGTAAGGAGGAGACCTGCCAGACACCTCTGGAATCCAGGGCCCCACTATTCCCAGAACCCTGCTGCCTGGGGCCTCCACCCCCTCCTTCCTCTGCCCCTCCCAGTTGGGAGCTGAGGCTCAGGCTGGCAGGCATTCTCCAGCCCGCTCCCATTACCACGGCTGCTATGTGGAGCTCAGTGAAAGGCGAGTTGTTCAGCAGCAA